GGGGGGGGGTGAAGAATTAACCTTTGTTGCAAGCTGATTATTTTCCCATCTTTTGCTACTGTGGCCTAAAACAATAGCCAGTCACTTTCTTCTTTAGAAGCACAGATATACACAAATGTTACTAGAAATTGGACAGTGTCAAGGTCTGTTTTGCAACCCAGATGCCAAACTAGGTTGGCCTGTCCGTTTCTCCACTAAACTATTTTTTCAGTCTCCAGAACAAATAGTCACATCCTGTTGGGAATGGTCTTTGGCCCGTGCTAACTCTAGAACTGTGCATGGGAATTGAGCACAAGTTGAATCAGACTTAAGCTGGACCAGGAACAGTTCAAACACTTCAGGAGCGTAGACAGTTGCATGTCTGTACCCTGCTCCTGCTATCTTCAGCTTTGGTTTTACTTTGAGCCCAGTGGTGTACTACAAGAATTTAAGTATATGCGAGGAAAAATTTGTCCTGGAAGAAACCCTTCAGCACCTTAAATTTAGCAATTTTGATTCACCCTACCTATACCCATTCAGTCCTAGTCATGTCTTCTAGACTGAATTCGTCCAGTTCTTCTAGATAAGTGTGACTTAAGAAGTAAACTTCTGATTTACTTGGTTTTGCTGTACTCTTAGGGCTCTCCAGTGTCTATGGTTTTCTGAAGCAATAATGCTTAGAACTGGGTACTAGATTCCAGATGAAGCCTCAGTAGCACCAAGTAGAGCAGAAAAACTGTCTTGTGTCTTGCTACAACATCTTATATTGATATCTTGTAATACTCTTTTCATTGCTTCCTTTTACCTGGCACTTCTAGCACGAACGGCCAGTACCAGTTCTGCTAAATAGCTACTTAGAAAGTTACCTTCCTACCTCATTTTGCATTTGTGCTGCTAATGTCCCCTTCCAAAGTGTGGGACTTTACCCATTTATTGGCTTTCTTCAGGTTGATGTTTTGATGCAGACGTCAAACTTAAAACAATTCTTTTGAATTCCAGTCGTGTCCTTCAGGTGGTAGGAAGTCTTTCCCGTCTTCGTGTTGTTAGCAGATTTTATAAATTAACTTTCACCCTTGTAGTCATTAGTCTGGTCAATATCTAGACCAGACCTAACATCAAGACATTTTTTAAATGTTCTTCCAGTTCTGATGGCAATATCTAATATCTATTTTAGATATAACATAGATAATATCTAAAAGGACTTTCAGCTAGGCTTCACACATTGAACAGGGGTTGCAATAGCTGTTTTCTTACCTTGCTTATGAAATCAGAATTGAAGGCATAAGCATCAGAGCCCGACAATGTCACTATAATTAAACTTTTCGGTGCAGGTACACTGATTTGCCAGTACAGTTGTTTCAGTATACTTCATTCAGAATTGTTCAGAAGGTAATTTTTGGACAAAGTTTCTGAATGGCTCTCTAGTGCAATTTAAAATAGCTACCGGATTGGATCTTTGTAATTCAGTGTCACCACCGTTGTTTCATTTGTCATATATTTCTTAGCTTCAGAACGTCAGGTATGGATTCATGCTTAAACAACTGGCTAGGTAACTAACTAAAACTTGTTATCAAATTATTTTTGAAAGGATTTGTCAGTATTCAGTCCCCTTATCCCAAATGTAGTTCATTTTGTGCATAATGACAGTGGAGCTAAATATCACAACCTAAATTACTTTAGTAGGCTTTGCTTTATAGCAAAGGAAACAGTGATGGCAGGTGAATGATCCCTTTGTAACATAGACTCTACCTCTGACATCACAGGAAAAATATAATTAGCCTTCTTCAGTGGTCAATAAAAAACTTTCCTTTTATCATAGTTTTGAATTGTTTTTTCTCTATTCGTATCCATTAAAACCTGCTGAAAAATGTCGTGTACGTCAATAAAATTGACATTGCAGCCATGTCAGGGATTTTTACACAATTTTTTAATTGATGATGTTGATTGATTAGATTTTTTTTTTAAATGAAATACTTTTTGAGAATAGACCTTCACCAGAATACCATACCATCATATAGTTGGGACATAGGTCTGAAAAGCAAATAGAGGTAAGTTTCTTGCTCTGATTCTTACCAAAGACCTGTGTTAGTCTCCCATTTCTCAGGCAAATCAGACTGAGCGTTTGCTGGTTGTTGCTTGCTCTTCATTTGCTCTTTTTCCCGAGTAATTTTCAGTGACTTCCATTTTCCTGATACAGAACAGGAAAACTTCTAAAACTTAAGTTTTGCAGGATGATAAAGCCCTATTACTTCCATCTCTACTTAAAAAAGAAAACTGTTAGGTCTATTGGCAAGGCACAATGGATCTAAAAGCATTTTTGGCAAAGGGATGTTTGCTTTTTACCTGAAGGAAAATAACTAGCAAGTCCATCTACTCCAGGGTAGAGTGTATTTTATGAATGGTTAGATTCAAATTAGCTTGAACCAGACTTCTAGGCTTCCTAGGAGTCTTTTCCCTAAATATTTAATTTCTTCTGCCAGTTACAATCTCAGTCTGAAAAACTATCTGTAACATGCAGAAAATTGTTGCATTATCTCTTTTCTCTGGTTTTGTGAGTTGTTTTATTGTTGTTGTTTTGGGGGTTTTTTTTCCCCTTTCTGCAGTTTTATTGTTAATCTTGTCTAGATTTGTGACTTCAGGTACCTGCACACTGAATTCTAAGGCTGTTGACTTTCTAGGTCATTCTGTACAACATTCAATTTTTATCTAACTCAAATATTCCCACTCACACCAGACTATTTAATTCAGCCTGCATTTCACTGAGCCTACAAATAGGCTTCTGGTAACCTGTGTCCATGGTGCAGAGGGTAAGAACGCTGCTATCTTCCTTGATAGAAAACTGGGCTTCTTTCTCACCTCCCCGCAAACTTGCTTGCACAGAGGAGTGGCCATCTTCAAAGACCAGCTGCAGTGTGGCCTTAAAAGTAAATAGGAGAAAATGCCTTCAAAACAACTTTGAGTTCTTGAGTCATAGCTTTAAACCCTGAGGAAGCACCCATTCCAGGTGTGAAGATCTAAACCTTAAGCAGATGGGTAAGGACATTCAGATGTCACTGCTTGGTTTTGTGGGTTTTCTGGTGGTTTTTTTGTAGTAATTCTGAAGTAATGCTTTCTGGCTCATGCTATTCACCGACCTCAGGTATAATCTGGCTTTCCTACGTGGAAGACCAATGCTGCTTCACTGAAAGATGTTAAAAAAAATGCTTGGAAAGGCTTTGCACGTTTATCTGAATTCACCCAATTCCCTAAGCGAAAGGAGAAGCTCTTTTCAAAGAAGGTACCTTGGCTGTTCTTCTGTTCAAATCCTGCTGCTCTGTAGTCATCCAACAAACAGTAAAGCTTAGCCTTACTCATGTGATGTGAAGGAGTTTGATTTCCCTGATGCTCAGGAGAGATTTCATGAGGAAGGCCATGTGTCTTCAGATTGGTTTGTACTCTGTGAACTGTGCGATGGAGAGGATTTACTGCTCGGTATTGGCTTATATTGAAAGTAACTTGTTCTTTTACAAGCTTAGAAAATTAGCTATAGCAAGTGTTTCTACTGCTTCGTTCAAGAAGGAGCCATTGTACACTTTCTTCTGTCAGCCAGCCTGGTCTGCAGAGTGGAAAGCAGTAGTAGGTTATACCCAGTACTTTTTCTTCAGTGGAACCAAATTCCATTACTGAATCTTTTTTTTTTTTTTTTTTTTCTTTCCCCTGGCTTCAGATCTTAAATAGAGCAACATGCTTGAGGTATATCTCTCGACTTTTGTTTTTTTCTTGCTTGCTAGGAAAAGGCCCCCATCTGACAGTAACTGTTTGTTTTTTCTTCTTAAACATGCCTATGCAAATATGACAGACTTTTAAGGCAATTGTGTATAACCTGGGATATTGTCAAGATGTTGCTGCAGATCACCTTTCATAGTTGATGTAGAGGATGATTGCAGAACTCTGTCTCATCCAGCTGCATCTGGTGTATGATATCACAGAAGGGCTGTAGGAACTAGTAGGGCTTTCAGCTGTTTTGTTCTTGGATTCCCTACCTCTTTCTGCCCATCTAACTGCAGAACCCAAGCAAAAATGTTTATCTAAATCATGAGACGGGGTTTGGTTGTGCACTCTGGCATTGCCCTGATCTCAAACTGTGACAAGCCCTGACTGCATATTGTCGTTTCCCACTTCTCACCCTTTGTGTTTCCTTTGGAGGATGGATCATGTTCACATATCTGAGCCGCAGGGCGATCTGCAGTCTGGGCCATCAGGTGATTAGAACTGGAGAGTCATCTTTCATGGCATTCTTGCAGCCCCAGTCTTCTGTAAATGGTTATACAGGAAAACTATTTGCTGCAGCTGCTTGCTATCCACAAAGAGAAATGTTTGTATGAGTCTGTGTGGTTTTAAACTGGGTTGATATGAGTTAAGGGCTCAACTAGACAGACCTGCTGCAGCCAGTGGTCACTGATGTGTGAAAATAAAACCCTAAAGCTGAATTTGCAGAACTGATAGATAAGAAGAGAAGAAACAACTGAAGAAATTTGTTCTCTTGTGGGTGAGAGACTATTAAACTTCCCAAACAGTTTCTAAATGGACATCTTCAGGAGTACTCGAACATAACTGAGGGAGCAGTTGTGGAATAAAATAATGTGAAAGAGGGTTACTCAAACATTATAGCTATAATGTTAGTTCTTCTTGCTCACTGTAGATGAGAGCTGACTGCAGCTTTTTGATTGGTGTCAAGTTAGAATAGTGCTGGGACAAGAAGAAAGACTCTGAGGAAAGGTCCTGAAATATGGAGTTCAAGTGCTCATCTAGACATCCAGTGTCACCTCAGACACTACAACATATCCAGTACATCTGCCCGGGGCTGGCAGCTGTGATACAGGACCTATAGGAGAGCTGTATCCTTCCGGAGTGATAGCTGGAGGCCAGCAGTCATGTAAAAGACCTTAGGCCATCTAAAATGGCCCTAGGTGTCTGTGTTGAAGGATCCAAATCCCACCTGAAATGTCTTTCTTTTCACTTTATGAATGACCACTAGTTTCTCTGGGCTTTCAGCTTTCTGTAGAGAGGATGTACTTGAAACAAATGCGGTGAGATACAAACTCATTGTTTAAGTGATACAACTAAAGAACAAGACCCTAACACTGAAAAGACTTTGTCCATGCGTGAGGATATGAAAAGTGCTCTTTACCACATGTATACTGAATACCTTAACTTCTACTGAAGAATGTATCAAATTGTTACCAAGTGTGAAATGGTTCAGATACTTCAGGAAAAATAATTTATCTAGAGTGTCAGGCCAAACTTTAATTTATTTTCATGTAACTGTACTGCATTCTATTATTATCATCAGACCATAACTTTTTGGCTATGGCACAGCTCACTGTACATCTGAAGGGAAAAGAAGAGGAGATCTCTTAGGAGAGTGGCTTGGTTTGGGGAGATGGGTAGGGTTGTGGTTTCTTTAACCAAAATATGTGTGTCTTTTAAACTGTCTGCTGACCTGCCAGATCAGTCACTACGTCATGCTCTGGTCTGGAGTAACTGGTTTAAATATGTGCGCTGTAATATGGCTGTCTTTAAAAATCCATGTCTGTGAAAATTTGGGAAATAAATGCATGCAAGTCTCAAAGCAGGAGCAGAAAGCAACTACTGTTCTGGTGCTTAATGCAGAGGTAACTGTTTCTAGGCAGCACGTCAGATGCTCCATTTCTGAAAACCAAAATTCCCAAGCACGTCCCTCTACAACAATTAACATATTAGTGATGCTGTTTGGCTTTGAACAACATACTGAGTTGGTTTTTTTTTAACCTGAGGACACTTGTTATAAAAGTTGCACTTGAGAATACAGTGCTTCTTCCTCATAAGCACATCTCAGGCTGTCACTAATGTTATTTGCATTAAATAAACATATTACACCATTCTTCCATTAAAAAGGAATTGCCAGGTATGCATATAAATGTAAACATGTTTAATTTTTATATCAAAGTGTCCGTTACAGCAGACCCCAGAAAATTTTGCTTATTTTACATAAGCTTTTTTCCCCATCTCTCATTTGGCTACTAAGCTAAATTGTATTTTTGCATCATTTTTATATCCTTTATTAAACAGTGTAAGGTTTGCTTCTGTAAGGCTGTGTGAACAGGTCTGTTAGAGAAAGGCAAAATAAATGCTTTTGAATCGCCCTAGGAAGCAGGAAGGGTCCTACTTGGGCCCTGCTGTACTCCAGTGGCTCCTTTGCTGTTTTAAACCGAGATCTGAGTTCCTTTTACTGAAGGAGGGAATAAGCCAAAATGTGTTGTATATGAGGATGCTTATTTCATTGTAACACCCTTCATCTGAAAATATAATTGAAACATTGCTGAGCTGTCTGTGGTTCTGCTTTTATCTAGTTTCATAGAGGAGAGGGAGGAAGTCTTGTGCACCTTTCTCCCATTTCGCTCTTGTATGCAACCAGAAATGGAGAAACTGCTATAATCAATTGAGAAAACTTGTTACCCGTAGAGTAAGCAAATAAAAAATGGTCTGTCTTCATTTTTATGAAGACAAAGGTAATTGGGTAGAGGTAATGCAGAGGTGGGAGGGTCCTTCCCTCGACAGAGTTCCAATTCAGCCAGCTTCCTTTAGTGGGAAAAAAATCTTCCTAAGTGAACACTCCTATTCTAAATATAAAACTACTACCTTGCCATTGCGTGTCTACAGAGCAGTGAGTGGCAAATACCAAAACTGTGTGGAGCTTAGGCTGATCTGATTTAAAAAGCGGTCTAGTAGCAGTTCTGTGAAAGAACTGACTTAGACTGTTGTGTGAATCTTCCCCACCACTGAACCATCTACAACAAAATCTTTGAAGTCCTTTAAATATGCAGATGCAGTTGAACAGTGAAATATGTCAGTAGATCTGGTCTCTCATGCCCAACTTGTTTGGGGCTTGTGATACCCCTTATTCCTTTCCCCGACTGCCCACTTAACTGTATTGCAGTTGTCAGCATAGAGCAGTTTCCTGCTGCTTTGGGCTCAGGAATTGAAGAAACAAAATACAGTTCGGTTCTTTGCTGGAAATACGTGCACGGATTCATGGATATTTTGCCAGCATCATCGCAGGCCACAGATAGACCACCTTCAGACCTCACTCGTCTAAGGGTTGCAGTGGGAGCATTTTGCGAAGGGGTGAGGGGATGGAATGGGGAAAATGGAATGGGAATTCCCTGTGACTCTGAAAGGTGCTGAAGGAGGGACAGACAGACAGACAAAGAAACAGGGTGGAAATTCCAGGCAGTGTTTGTGCTGGAAGAGTGAACGTAAACTTGTGCTGTAACATGGAGCTGCAAGATGGAAAGTGGAGATTAGTGTAAGCCCATATACAGAATTGTCATTTCTTTGTGATATAAAACCTTATGTGTCAGAGTCGTAGGGTGGCTGCAGGTCCTTCCCTGCTTCCTAATGATACCAGAATTTTAATTGTTGTTTCTTTCTGTAAATTGAAAGCCTTGGATGGAGCAGGGAATTCCCTGGTGCCCACCTGTCAGTGATAGGTTAGAATTAGTCAGGGCATAGAGTTGAAACCTTCACCTGCCCTCTGGGGAAGGTCAGTCTTGAAAGCTGGTGGAGGATGGGCGGAAGGCAAGTCCGTATCTTGGCAGTTGAAAATGTGCTCAAGCTGGAACCCCCACGAACACACAACTTTCACAAACCACAAGTGGCAGGTTTTTTGTATTGGAGTCAAGGAAGAAATTAGATTGTTCCGGTTGTAAAGCTCAAAAAAACAAGTAGCTTTAAAGTAAGTGGAAGTACCATCCACGCGATGGCCGAGGAAAAGCTGTATATCTAACAGGAACATAATTGAAATGGCCTATATAAGTATTTAAACCACCTCAAAGGAATATTGCAATTTCTGAATTTCATATTGGCATTTTATATTTGACAAGGTGACATTGTGTAAAAAATGTATTGTAAAACACTGCTGTACTGTAGGAAAATGATTGAATGTAAATATTTCAAGATGTGGACCACTGTTCAAATGTTATCATAAATCTTTGCCATTGTTTTAGGGGATAATTCTTCATGCATATTTGAGTTGAATTGATAGAACCAGCCCCTGAAAGGGTAATCTGCTTGTTATTACCTTACTACCACTAATAGTTTAATTTTGGCTTTTCAGGTATTCACCTCCACCTGGACTTTACATATGATGATTTATTCTTTTTCGTAACTAGCAGAGAAAAGTTCTGACTTGTGTTTTCAAATTAACGCAATGTTTAATAGCTTTGTTCTTTTGTGAAACGAGCTCGCAAAGCACTACGAGAATGTCTTTTTCCAGCTTAATATTTTCTTTCTTTTTTACTTCTTGCAGGTTTGGTAGGTTTACAGTAGCTGCACTTCAGTCCAAAGTAGAACAAAGTGAACGTGAAATGAACCGTCTAAAAAAGGCACTGGAAAGAAGTGATAAATACATAGAAGAAATGGAGTGTCAGCTTTTACAGCTGAAAAATGCAGGCGAAGGAACCCAGACAGCGAGTGCTGTTAGCGAGAGAGTGGTTTCCACAGATGCTAAAGGAGCTGAGAGCGGTGAAGATACAACATGTTTGAAAACCCCAGTTGAGGAGAAAAAAGCTTTGACTACCAGTCAAAGTCCTGACAGCCTCGAACAGCTGACAAGTGGTGGAACTTGTTTAAGCTCTTCTAGTCAAGATGGTTCAAATGGCTCAAATACCCAGTGTGCCCCAAAGAAAGAACTATTTCCAGGTTGTCAGGGGGTTCTCCTGGATGAAAATACTACAAATATGGATGCCTGCTTAGAAGAGCAGTGGAATAAAATGGAGGAATGTACCCCATATAAGGATGAAGAACTTTATGATCTTCCACCACCGTGCACTCCTTTTCTGTCTCTCAGTCGCCTTCAGTTGAACACTCCTGATGGAAAAGAAAATGCAAGGAAACCATCAACATTCCTGAGAAAACTGAAATTTGAAGAGTTTTGCGACACTTCAGATGATTGCAGCAAAGATTCTCCAGAGCACAGCACAAGCAGCTGTAATAGGGAAAAGAAGCTAAACTGTTTTGCTACAGGAAAATCAGGTTTTTGGGGGACCTGCCCAACAAATTTTGCTGAGAACTTAGATTTTGATGAATCGGAGCGAAATTCGGTAGCTGGTCAGTCAGATGAGACATCAGCAAAGTCCAGTGATAAAACAAGTTCTTGCTTACCTAAGAGGTTACATACTCTCTGCTCTTCCGAAATGAATCGCACAAGAACCTCCAGTGAGGCATCTATGGATGCTGCCTACCTCGATAAAATTTCCGAGTTGGACTCAATGATGTCCGAATCAGACAACAGCAAGAGTCCATGCTACAATTTCAAGTCCTCCGATCTTGATAATTCTTCAAAGTCAACAGAGTGTTCTAAGCTTCTGAATGAAACGGAGAAGAAACTGGAAGAGATGAATGAGGAACAGAGTATGAAGTGTCCAGAGACAAGCGATCCAGCAGTTGACAGAACTGGCTGGAAACCTGCTATGTTTTCCATCCTCTCCCCATCTGAGCTAGATATGAATGACCACTTTCCGCTGTTTACAGGCCAAAACATAGTGGCTAGTGATACCAAACCTCCAAACTGTTTATTTCAAAGAGACTTTTCCCAGAGTTTACTATTCAGTAACTCACAAAGGTTGTTTGAGGAACAAAAGTTCGGTTCCTGCTTTTTAAAGATGTCATCTGACCTGCACAATCAGCTTAATCCTCCTTGGGTGTCTTCCTTTATAGCTGAAAGGAAAAATAAAAATGTCAGTCAGTCGACCAAGAGGAAAATTCAAAGCAGCCTTTCCAGTGCTAGTCCGTCGAAAACCACCAAAAACTGACTTGGCTTGGAAATCGAACGTGACTCAAAGTCGTCAACCTGCAAATGTTTAATATTTACAGGTGAACTTAATTTTTAATGACTTCCATGCAATCTGATCCTGTCTTTTTCGACTATGTGAAAACTGAACATTCCCTTGCCCGTTATAAGCTCTTTCCTAGGGAAGAACCATTCCAGATTCTTTTCTTTGGCTGGGCATTTTGTTTACTTGGGGGTTTGGGTGTTTTTTTACGTTTTCAGGTTACATGATCTTCCAGCTGTGAGCACAGCTAATGGCTCCCTTGAACAGGACGGTTTTAAGCGGTCTTGCCAAATCGGTCGTTTTATGTAAGAATTTGTTTTAAAGGTTACGTTTCCCATTCCTAACGATTACGTTTTGTGCATGTAAGGCAGCTACTGGCTATATATCCTATGGATTCATGAAATTGCTATAAAACAATGTCAGTTTTGCCATAAAACTTGCCTCCCAGATGAAATGCTGCTGCTTGGACTGTTTCGTAGCACTGTACTGTACTGAAACTCTTGTTTTAAGTGGGTGTAAGGTAGCAGCCTCTTTCTTTTCAGGATTACAGCACTTCAGTTAGAAAACATCTCTTCAACACTGCAAACATGGCTTGTTTGGTTGTTTTTGGAAGTTAAGCACAATTTTTAATTTCATTCTTTTGGTTTTTTTTTTTTTTTAAGTTAAGCACAATTTTTAATTTTGTTCCCAAAAAGCATTGTTATTCTAGATGTGTTCAGGATGCCTGTATAGACCATAAAAATGGGTTTGTATGCTAATGACTTGTTTACCTAATGTGCACTGAACATTTTACATTAATACTGTACCATTTTACATTAATACTGCATGCTTTTCTATGTGAATTGAATAAAACATGTTATAAGCACTGTAATCCTTGGTGTCGCCTCAAATATTGAATTAGCAAAAAGAGAATGGGGAAACTTCTTTTTTTTCATAATTTGGAAGATATCTAAGTTTTGTAAAACTTAAATGTGAGCTTATTCACCAAAAAAAAATCTTTGTAAAACTTAAATGTGAGCTTATTCACAAAAAAAAAAATCTCCCTTCCTCCTCCTTGTTAGACGTATTACCATTCTAGTGTCAGCATCGATACAGTTGATGGAAATGGCTTTCGGCCTCTCTGGAGGTGACTCTTCCATAAAGTATTGCATAGGTCAACACAATGTGATGGCCTACTACAGGCAGGAGACCTAATTAAGCAGCAGAGCAAAATTGGTTTCTTTGCATTATTGTGTTTAAGGTTTTTTTAAGGGCATATTTAATAGTAAGATGCAGGTTTTTCTTTCTATATAGGCCTCTGATGGCATTTCTTACGAACAGGCATCCTTGCTTCATCAATACCTACGATACGAAAAATCCATTTCGTCCCTTTGAAAAGAGGGATAACCACTTGGAAAATTTCAATAGTCTGGCTCATCTTTTGTAAAGCGAAGTCCTGCAGGCGGTTTGAACAAGAACGACATTTCACATGTGTGCATGCATTCGTGCAGTTGGTGTGTTCATTCTTTTCTTTTTTGAGAAACAGCTTTACCAAAAACTCACCGTTCAAGCCATACGTGCACGGACCCTTTCCTGGTGACAGGCAGGATGGCATTGTGCTTTCATATACCGCTTTCAGTATACCACCTGAATTTTAGTCTTCACAGAAAAATCTAGTCATTCAGTTTTAACATTTTTCAGAACTTGGGGGGCTGGCAAAACCATCTGGACATGAGTTCCTACTTTATTTGACTAGTTTTACTAATAAGTCATAAAATGCTGCCTTGATTTAACCCTTTGGGAGGAGAGGCAAGGGCTTCTCAAATAAATCTCTAATACTTTCTTAAAACATCCTTGTATCACAAAGCAATCGCAAATACGCAGTAAGTAAGTGTTAAGGTCATTGTTCTGTTTCATTGTGGGTTGGGAGGGAGTTGCATTTATGGGCTTCATTTTATACTCCAGTATACTTCTGATACACAAGTAATTTTCAGTGATGGAAACATGAATACGACTGGTATTACCATACCTGAAATCAAACTAGAATAAAGGAAAATATTGGTGTGTTTTTCATGCTACTTTCTAGTCCTTTGGACAGGAACACCGCTCATGGGCTTGCTCTTCAATATGGGTATTTTGATTTTACATGTCATGCAACTTGAATGGATAGAAGAGACGAGCCTGAGGTTAAAAAAAATGCTGAAGATCAAAGTCATAAACTTCATATCTTATTCTCAAGCAGGGCCAGAGAGTGAGGCATTTCAGGCCAAGTGCTGGCTTTTCACTTGGAACGGTCGTGGGAGCACATAGATCGTCACCTACAGCCTCCCAGCTCCGGGCTGGTAACTTCCTACATCGTGGCAAGAAAGTTACCGTAATTATGCGTAATTACTTGATTTCCAAGCTCTCTCGTACCCTCAGATCTCAACTGCAGACAACGGTGCGATTGCAGATCACAGACTGTGATTGCATCCAGTGCTATAAGTAGGAGCATTTTATGTTTCACAAGTTGTAAAGCTGAAGCAGATCTGAATTCTTGTATCTTAGTCTTGTTTTGTTTGGCTGGGGTTTGTTTTGTTTTGGTGGTTGGTTTTTGGGTTTTTTTTAATTAAGTGCCTTTAAAACAGCTACCACAGTCTAGATTCTGCATTTTGTTTGGTTAATGTAGGTTGTATTCCTTTTGGCTTAAAGTTTGACAGTGGTTGGTGCAATATCAACTCAAAAATTGAAGCTGTATGTAATGAATGGGGTTTCTTCAGTTACAAATTTGTTGGCCGTACATGGGGTTTCAGTTCTCCAGGCTGCATTCTGTCAGTGCTGTGCTTGCTTAATCTCTTGCTGCACTTACCATGCTCTCTGAATAAAAGGGCCTAAAGGAGACTTCATTGCTGTTAAATTTTTATGGTAGTTACCTAGTTATGTAGAATTGGAATATACAAGATCTAAAACGTAACTATTACAATTTTGATTAAGACAATAGATGTTTCAAAGTGATGTAGAGATGAGATCTGTGATGTCTAATGATATTTAATAGCTCGTAAAATTTTTACTTCATCTAATAATACTTACTGTACTAAATAAGAGGCAACTCGCAGGTTGTAACACAGGAGAACGCTCTCCAGGAGTATTGGTAACACAGGAGAGTGAGAGCGCTACCAGTCTCAGTTCGTTGCCAGTGGAATCTGTTGGGATACACCTAAGAGCACCAGCACCAGGGTCAGGTTTTCACTTCGTTGTAGGCAGTTTCACCTACATGCAGTCCGGCAAGTGACCTGCTTCTCCATGATTCCCTGAAGGCCTTGTGAGAGCCTGGTTCTGCTCGCTATTGCTTCCTCTGATGAAAGGCTGCTGGATCAGCTCTACCTACCAGCACCAGATACTGACTTGGGCCGTGTTTGGTTTTGAATGTGCTTTATTGTCTCTTTTTAAAACACCTTTAAAAAGGCGGCAAGAGGGACAATGCATAGCTTGTACACACAATACAAGGTGTGCTAACTTGCATCTCCCTTCCTTCCCCCTTCTTCATTTCACAACCGTTTCCCTCACCAAATAATGCCATTTAAAGGCAGTTTAAACCAACTAAGTCTGGTCCTAATTCTTGCACGGCATCGAAGTCCTGCCTCTGACTTCCATCAGCCACAGGCTTGAAAAACAGTCTTTACACACCTCGTCTGTACCGTGGTTATGGTAAATGTTTCGCAAACTCTGAAGATGACACTCCTTCCTTGCTGCTTTTGGCATAGGACCATCCCATACGAACAGACTAAGGCTTTTCCCTTCTCCCCTCCCAGGTTTGGATGGGAGGGAAAGCAGCTCTGAGGTAACTTCATGTGGGGGTTCACGGCTGTTCCAAGGATTGCCTGCAGAGGTGATAGGCAATCCCCTCTGGCTGCTAATCCACATCTGGCCCTTCCTGCGCCTTGGTCCCTTGCAGCAGTCCTGTACTGCTGTGGTGAGCCACCAGCTTGTCAGGCCTGGCCTAAATGGGTGGCCTGTCTGTCCTGCCTTCATGGCCCAACACCGAGCTATTGCCTCAGTGTCCCTTAGCTCTAACTGGAAAAGCCACCTTCATTAGCTGAAGGACGGAGGGAAAAGCACAGCTGGTGTAGGGGAAAGCCTGCGTGTGCTTTGGCAGTTGCGGATGTCGTGGGAGGCCGCAGGGGAGGATGAGACTGGGCTGAAAAAAAATGAAGTTTAGTATTCCTGATTTTTTTCAGCTTTTCTCGGCAGCAAGCCTCGTCTCCTCTCCAGTGCTCTTACAAGCTGTGTGGGTGCTGTCTGCTGTTTTTCAGAGAAGCCAGACGGACAATGTCAAAATCCATCGGGCGGCTACTACTCGCACCTGACGCT